TCAACTGATTGAGACAAGTCTCACATCGATAAAATAAGACAAGAAATAACAACTTATATAATACAAACATACTTCAATGGCAGGGGAGATACAAACAAGTCCCACATCGATAAAATAAGACAAGAAATAACAACTTATATAATACAAACATACTTCAATGATTGAGACAAGTCCTACAGCGATAGAATAAAACAAGAAATAACAATGGGCTAAAGTCCAAAACGGTAATAATCTTATAAAAATATCTTTCATAAAATATCCCCTCAAACAAATATCATAAAATAACCCATCAAAAACTAATTCTTAAATTTAAAAATTCCATAAGCAACTTCAGTTAGAGATATTATAACAAAAAAATAGAGACAAAGTTGAAATATAATTTCTTGTGATCTAGTTCCTCTAAAATGAAAAAATTACACTTTAAAAAATAAAGTAAAATAATAATAATTGATTAAAAAATTATTCGTTGATATTATGATTAATTTTAAATTTTATTTTACAAAAATTTGATTTTATCATTAATTTTATAATAAACAATCATAAGTACACCTTATTTTTTTAATTTACGATCCTTCACAAAAGTCAAATCTGATTTCTATATAATTTCTATTCTCGTTAATAAATACCCTGCAGAGATATAGAATAAATACCTCGCGGAGATATAGATAAATAGATAAGTAATATAATAAGAGAAAGCAATTATAGGAGTCACAACAGGATTTAAACCCATCATATACTCACACACAGAAAAATAAAAAGGACAAGATTGGGAAGAAAATTACTTACTAAATATGGATTCGAGCTTCAGTATCAGTATTTATCCGTAAAAAATTTGAGAAGGTACAAGTATTTTGTTTAATATCCAACTTACTCAGTACTTAAAGCATTAAATATATTACTTTTGAATTTTAAATTAAAAAATGTATATACTGATACAATATAGATTATGAATTAGGGATGGATGCATTCATATCACTCTGGGAGCAGTTGTTCCCACTAAAATTTTACACTTATTTATTTTTATATATATTATTTATTTTTTATAATATATAAAAATTATATTTTAATTTAAAATT